CTGCTGTCATGTTACTCTTAGTCCTTCTCTTTGTTAGACTAGAGATACCCTATTACTACAACCATTCATCATATGTTTTAGCCTCCAGTCCACTAATCATATTTGTTGTCCTTCTCTGCACACTTTCTACAGTCTCAACATCTTTTTTGTATCGTGCTGACCAAAACCGGACATAGTATTCCAAGTGTGGTCTTACCAAAGCATAATAAAGTGTTACTTAAGCTTCCTGTGATTTTCATTCTATCCCTCTGTTGATGCAGCCTAGCACTGACTTTTTCGGTAGCTGCAGCACACTGTTGGCTCATATTTAAGCGATCCCTCTCACAGTTTGTTTGTTTATAAAATTTACTGGCCACCCATCTTACCATAGGGTAACTCTGGGTGGCTTAAGTTACATATACAGTTAAACATAAAAAGTTTAAATCAGATATTAAAACAAAGATACATGGGGAGGGCGGAGGGATGGGGGAGGTGAGATCTGTTATTACTCAATCAACCACCTCCATTCCGCTGTTCCCCCACTGGGGCCCAGGCCAACTGGCAGAGCCACATCTTTAAGCCCTTATGAAAAGATAGGAGAATTGGTGCCAACCTCACATCGGGGGGCAAGATGTCCCAGAGGGCAGGAACAACAGCAGGGAAGGTCCTCCTCCTGGACCCCGCCAGCCAGAATAATTGGGCTGATGGGACTCGCAACATGCCTCCTCTGCCAGCACGAGTGGTACAGGCCAATCCCAGTGGGGTGAGACAGTCCCTCAAGTAACCTGGATCACCAACACCTTGAATTGCAACTGGAAGCAGACTAGTAATCAATGCAGCTCGCGGAGCAGTGGTGTTATAAGGGCCATTCTTGGGGGCCCCAAAACTACCTGTGCTGCCGCACTCTGAACCAGCTATAGCTTCCGAATGTTCTTCAAGGGTAGCCCCATGTAGAGTACATTACAATAGTCCAGCCATGAAATGGCTAGGGGCTGAGCACAGGAAGTCCTGATCCAGGAAAGCTCTCAACTGGCACACAACATGAAGTTGTGCAAAGACTCTCCTAGCTGCGACTGCCATCTGCTCCTCAAACAGGAGTTACAAGTCCAGGAGAACCCCCAAGTTGCAGAGTCAAAGATGGCAAAGTTGAGGATCCTAGAGCTCTGCATCCTCAAAGCCATTCGGTCTTGCCAGGGTTCTGTTAAAGCCTGTTATCCCCCATCTAGGCCCCCACAGTCTCCAGGCACCACGGCAGCCACAGTATCACTTGGGTCACCAAGAGTGTAAATACAATATATCATCAGCATACAATATATACCTCAACCTCTGGTGACGGATGATCTCACTCAGCGGTTTCATATAGATGTTGAAAAGGAGTGGAAAAGTACCGAGCCCTGCAGTACATCACAATTACTGCTGTTGAGACATGTATCTCCTCTATTGATTTTCTTCCTGTGAAAAACCTTTCTTTTCTCACCACTGAATTGCATTTTGTTGGATAGGCACAGTCTTCAAGTCTGTCAAAATTCTTCTGGATCTTGAACCTGTCTTCTAAAATATTGACTATTTCTTCCAGCTTAAATCATTTATGAGGATGTACTGGCTTATATTATATGTACTGGCTTATATTATATGACAAATATTATAGTAGTGTATTCATTATAAACCATTGGCTATTGATAAATGTAAAATATAAGATATATCTTTTTCTTCTTAGTTTGTATTTTCAGTTTGAGGCTATCTCTTCTGTTTTTTAAAGTTTTGTGAATTGTATATGGAAAAAATAAATAATGTTTGTATGTGTGTGTGTGAGAGAGAGAGATTTCTAAAAGAAATAACCTGGTCTTTACAGGGTATGTGTGTATATTTTCCTATAGAGATCATCCCCTTTGAAATGATACGTATCACCTGCAATAGTTATATATCTGTCCAAGTTAATGTTTATTTTAAAAATTGTTGCCCGTTCTCAATTTAATATATTCACTCAATTCTGACATTCGTAAACACAGTCTCATTGATACAACTTAATTCAATATCACCTGTACCAAGTAATAGGGTACAGCCTTTTGGAATAATTGTACAGCCTAGGGATACTGGCAGGTAGCACTTTTTCTAAAAGAAGCATAGCACCTGTCTCTAATTATACTTGTTACAACCTCTAAAAACTTTGACCCTCTTCATCTACAATGGTAGCCTCTACAGAAAAGTTCTCTGAGATTGTCCTTGAGAATGAACAGGAAATTCAGCTGACTTAGTGGCACATCTATTTGTAAGTTGGGCAGCCATATAAATTGATGAAATAAAGAAACAAAACTGAATTGGAGTGGCTTGTGATTGGTTTAGCCATATCAGGACTCTTCATTTTTTTGCCAGGGAGTTCTTTCAAATCTCCAGAATCTTCAATTCTATGGAATCGAAACCATATTTTACTGTTGCTCTGCCATCCTTCCAGCCCAGGCAAGTGATCCCCATGCTGGGAGATGGCAGGTGAAAAGGGATAACCAGCTGTTTTCCCACCAGGTTCAGTCCCACAGATCACCTGTAGCATGATTAGAAATGGAGGGCCTTTGAAAGAGCCAGCTCTCCCAGACCAAGCCTAACAGGTGAAGAAGGAGAACCAGCTTTTCCTCTCCAGGTTGCCAAGTAGGAAACTGGTAGTTAGGAAAGAACCAGATTTTTTTTTTCTTCTCTTACTGCCAACTGTCCCTGTGTTGGTAACCTATTTATTGATCTCCTTGTGAACTTGAATACCATTTGACCAGTATTGGGGTGTACCATTTGGTAACAGATAAAGGTATTGATCTCCCATCCTTCAATGCCTGTCAGCTGAACCAGTCCCTATTACAAAGCCTTAGGAATCCTTCATAAATCTTTCACATGAGTAGGCATCCTGCCATTGTTTCTTAGAACAGGGGTGGATAGATTCCAGTATTTCCATTATGTCAATCTTTTGTAGATTTTATATTCTCTTCTTGGGATCTTTCTATCTAACTAAAATGGCACAGTTTTCCCTCAAGCCATCATTTTCTATATGTGTGCATGCATTTTCTCTTTCTTCCCCTCTCTAAATCATTTCTATTTCAATAACTAGCTGTACCCAGCCACGCGTTGCTGTGGCTCAGTCTGGTAAAAGCGTGTGTTGCTTTTACATCCAACAGATGGTGCTATTTTTCAAAAAAAGCATGTTTTTACCTGTCACAGGTGTGACATCTATATAATATAGGTATATAAAAACACGTGCGTATTCGAATGCAACGTTGTTTCAAAATTTCAAAGCAATTGGTGAAGAACTTTCGTAGATTTAAGATTTTGAACAAACGAACATTTACATTTTTATTTATATAGATTAGCTTAAAACAGCCCTTATTAATCTCAGTTTCTGCCTTATTTCATGTGCAGCCTTGTTGAAGGCATAGTGTAATGAAATTTTCCCTATTTAAATGCAATCCATTTTTACTAATGGAGCATGTGACCAGAGGTTGTAACCTCACAAGCATTCAGACTTGTATAGTTACTCAGAGCTTAATTTGTCCAGTCTCTTAATTTCTGGCATATGCACAGACACGCAAGTACATACGTGTTTGCTTCGGCTAGTAAGTAGGAAGGAGGTTGTGATTCCTGTTCTCAAAACAAATTACTGCTGTAGTTCTTGAAACTTCTGAACAATTATATATGAAAAGAAATGAGTAAGAAATTAGCATTTCTCCTCAGCAGACTCTTGCTTTTTGTTTTAAAAGGCTGTTCTGGATCATTCTTTCCATTAGGACCTGGATAGGCCTTTTCCCTTTGAAAACATTTGGAGTTTATATGGATACTCCACATTGATGAACTTTTACAGCTTTCATTTTATTTAGGCAGCTTTGTTTTTTTTAAGGGAGAAGGAGGAAGAGAGCTTTTATCTTCATAAAGGACTGGCTTGTAATGAAGTCATGCTGCTATTTTTCATATGCCGGGGAACAAGTTCCCTGTTTGGGGAGGAGCTGCAGAGTAATTAAATGATTCACCAGTTTCTGTAGTGAGCTGCCTTCCTTGAAACTTAGTTTTATAACTTTCAGGCATCATAGGTGGATGAGCTTTCGGCAGAGCCAGTTGTAGGCATGTTGGTGCTTTGTCCAAGTCATGCATTGGGAACAAGTCTTGCGACTCAGGAAAGCCAAGGTAGGCTAGAAAAGTAAGAATGATTTCTTTGCTAGAAAATAGATGAGTAAATTACATTTTACTTACATGTATGAGTTCTTAAGACGTTTACTGGTTAAGAACATCTGTTAAAACCAGTTTTTTTGTGACTATTTCCAATGCAGAATTTAAAATTTGTGTATGCACCTTTACTTTGGAAAACACATATAAATTGTGTGGAGATTTTATTCTTGCTATAAACTGAAAGATTTTAACTCTGTAAGCTAACTATAGAGAGTATACTATATGTAGTCTCCGAAACTGATTCGTTACACCTGAGATATAGGCATCTTGGTACCTTCCAAATGTTTGGAATCAATTCATATCCCAGCTAGTGTAGCCAGTGGCAAAAGATATTGGGTGTTGTAGTCTACAGCATTTGGAAGATAATACATTGTCTATCTCTGCTTTACACTGTTGTTTGAACTCTCCTTTCAATTTTTACCATTTCCACAGGAATCCTAGCTGAAGTTACTAAGGTGTGTTTCTAAACAATCTTTTATTGAATTGTGGCTCCTAATGTGTTATCACAGTAGGGCACATAGCAAGCAATCATAATTGTATATTTATAAGGGATTGTGACATACATAGTTTAAGTTTAACTGATAGACCTAATTGTTTTGAAATTTAACTTTACTCTATTCACAAAACAAAAATGTATGGCAGAATACTCCGTAATGTCTATCCATATTTCTTTATCATTTTCTTTACGGATGCTAACAGGCCTGTTGAAATTTAGTGACTTTTTCACCTGCCTTTTTAAGATACCCAATTTGTTTGCATTTTTTATGACATTGCCATTATCAAATCAGACTTTCATGTTCATTTTTTAATTCTTTTTCCAGATCGAACGATTAGATGTAAGTAGCCTAGCACAAACAACTAACGCAGTGGCAACAAGCACAGACTGCAGTATCAATGCAGATTCTGTTGATGGAACACCAGATCCACAACGCACAAAAGTGGCCATCACTCATCTGCAGCAGAAAATACTGAAACTCACAGAGCAAATCAAAATAGAGCAAACAGCCCGGGATGACAATGTAGCCGAATACCTGAAATTAGCCAATAATGCTGACAAGCAGCAGAGTGCCCGGATTAAGCAGGTGTTTGAGAAAAAGAACCAGAAGTCATCCCAGACAATCCTCCAGCTGCAGAAAAAGCTAGAGCACTATCATCGGAAGCTGCGGGAGATTGAACAGAATGGTATTCATCGACAGCCCAAAGATGTCTTGAGGGACATGCACCAGGGGCTAAAGGATGTAGGAGCAAAAGTCACTGGCTTCAGTGAAGGAGTAGTAGATAGCGTTAAAGGTGGACTTTCCAGCTTTTCCCAAGCAACTCATTCGGCAGCTGGAGCCGTTGCTTCTAAACCTCGGGAAATTGCGTCGCTCATTAGAAACAAGTTTGGAAGTGCCGACAATATTGCTAATCTGAAGGATGCTTTGGAAGAAAGTCAAGAAGACGGGACCGGAGGAAAGACTTTAGGTGTTCATAACTTTCAGTCGAGCCCAAAATATGGCAGTGAGGAAGACTGTTCCAGTGCTACATCAGGCTCAGTGGGAGCCAATAGCACTCCAGGAGTCCAGTTGGGAGCACCAAGCTCCAGATCGAACACTCTGGAAATGCAAAGCTCAGCGTTTGATGCGATATTGCATGAGATTCAAGAGCTCAGAGAGGTTCAAGTACGACTGGAGGAATCCTTTGAAGATCTCAGAGTTCACTACCAGCGAGATTATTCCTTGATAATGCAGGCTCTACAGGAAGAAAGATACCGGTGAGCACTTGGCAGTCCAGTCTTTCACTACTAATATTAATATTAAGGCAGATTCATGGTTGTTTGGATGCCAGCATTCATTTACTATTGATAATCTTAGGGGTAGTAAACTTTAACAATTCATTTGCTTTATATGAATATATTTAATTCTGGCTTAAATATTTAAGTTTCTTCCCTTCCAAATCAGCATGTCTGTCTTTTCTTCTTGTCATAATTTTTCAGTTCTGTGACTGTCTACACTAATTTTTAAAGTTGAGGTGGCTCTGGACCTATAATTTCAAAATAGTCCCATAGTCCTAATCTTGTTGGATGATGCATGTTTAAGCACTGCCCTTTTCATTACAGTGTTTATAAATTACAGTAGGTGAATATGTTGCAGAAAGATTCCCTGTATAATTAACATTAACACTGAGCTTGAAAAGTAGTTGTCAGACAGTGTAGTATTGCTAGTGCTGGCTTATTATGCTCCCAAGCATTCCAAAAAGTATGTTTCTCTAAAAATACCGTATTTTCCGGCGTATAAGACAACTGGGTGTATAAGACAACCCCCAACTTTTCCAGTTAAAATATAGAGTTTGAGCAAGAGAGAGAGAGGGGGGGGGGAGAGAAAACTTGATGAGTAATATGCCAAACCACATGTGTAAAGGAATAAAATAGAATACCCGTATTTTCCGGCGTATAAGACGACCCCCGACTTTTGAGAAGATTTTCAGGGTTTAGAAAGTCGTCTTATACGCCGGAAAATACGGCACATCCTAACTCCAGTCACACATAATGTTGAAGTATAATTTGTTTTGCATTAGAAACAAATCTGTAATGCAAGATAAATTTGGTATAGTTTTATGTAATCTAGAAAGTAGTTAGATCAGGCTTCATGGGAAGAAATAGATTATATATTTGTGATGTTGATATAAATCTAAATGTTGATATTTTGTCAGTTCTTCCTTGTACCTCCAAAGGTTGTGCTTATGAGTCTTGACAATCCTGGTGCTATTTACAGATCTTGAAGGAAAGAATGTAAATAGTTATACTCTCTGTTGTGGTTGTAACTTTAAAATTAGGCTATAATCTTATTATACTTAATTGTATTTTACTGTTATCCTTAAATATCAAGAAATAGATGTTTAATATGGTTAAATTAGCATGTCTAAAATGGCAGTCTTGAATTGATAACGTTTGGGATTGAAGAAAGTATAGAGACACTCAATCTATTTAAGAACTGACAAAATACTAATCTTATTACAACTTATGCAGATATTAATCATTTATAATATCAATACATCTTTTATTTAACTCTCAAAGTGGAGTTGCAGCCTTAAATTGTTTTTAATATTTTTTAAACTCTTTAGCAGTTTTGGGAAAACATGTAATTTAATAAATGCCAAAAGTATTATACAGCCAAAAGGTACAATTGCATGCTGTCAGATAATTAAATGAAGCATATTTGAATTGACAGAAAACATTTAATTAGAAGACTTTATTTGAAAAATACAGAATCAGAAAGGGAAGACAAATAATTAGAAGATAGCAAATGAGAGAAGATGAATTAGTTTTTGTTCTTTGAACATGGAAAAATGACGATTTCATTTCGCTCAATAGAAGCATCAATCTTTGGGGATCTAAAACTTTTCCATAACTTTATTTTTACACACACACACAGACACACACACAAGATATCCCATGTAGCCATTTGTTCTGATATCCTCTGAGCTGAGAAATTCAGATCTCTGAGAGCAGAATGGAGAGTTGCAGATCTATGTCGAACAGAGATTTTTTACAACTTCATTCATTAAGGAATTTTTAATTAAACATTCTACCAATTTCATGGAAAGACTTGTGATATTTTTAAAATAGTATAAATTATAATTTCCTTTACCATTTTTCTCAAGTCCCTTGACAATTAGATCTTATGCACAAATCCCCATTCCCCCAAAGAATTGCAGATAAATCAAGAACATTATATTAAAAAATTTCATATTAGCTAGTATTGAAATAAAATAAAAAGCAGTATGCGTAAGCTTGCAAATAAAACCACTGTTGGAAATCAAATTAGCAGTCACATTTTTTTCTCATTCTAATATACCAGCCAAATAAGTCTACCGAAAGGTCAGACTCCTGTTGAGGATCCCCCCCCCTTTAATAAGAGCATTTGTTTATTTTACATCAACTGTGTTTGTCATTCTTTATTTCTCTGTGGCTAGTTTTGTTCTTGGTCCTTTCATGGTTTGTGTTCACTAGAACTTGATATTCCTAGAGTTGTCTCTCCAGTTCTGACTCTTCTCCTTCTTTCCTCCTCCACACTTTTCTCAGGATGAAATTATTTCATAAATCCTCTGTTGTAATGTAACAAATAGTTAAAGCTTGAGCAAAAGCTCTGCTGGTTTTCTATTGGACATTTGATATGGCCTCATTGTTGAGAGAGAGTAGCCACACCTTTCTCTTTGGAAATCCAGTTCTGTATTCACCCCTGTTCTTTTTACAATGGCAGCCTTATCAGCACAATCAGATTCCAAAACAAGCGTTGCTTATCAGTTTTTAGAGCTGTAGCAGATGTTTGTTTGATAAAAAGGTTCTTTCTGTACTTTCATGAGAATTCTTGTCAAGTCTCCCTTGAAACTGTTCATGACTCAATAGCTTTTGTATACAAAGTGACTGAGAAGTTCACATAACTAAGATGTACTTAGTTGTTTTGTTCTCAGTTTACTTCACATACTGCCTGTATCAACTTAAATTGTACATTTAATTTGCCTTTTTGGCAGATTGTAATTCCCTGGACTCGCATTTCATGGAGTTCAATCATAGCCCATTAAGAAAGCTTTGCAATAAATTCTTCAGCATTCTTTTCACTGTTGCTATGTGGATACATAGACAAAAGTTTTGTTCAGCTATAATCTTATTTCCTGTTATACAGATTAAAAGTGTCCTTGGTACATTGAGCTTTTAGAATAGTTAGACGTTCAAGATTGCAGCCTCTGTTTCCAGCATATTATTATGTGCAAGCATTATTTGCCATTTTTTTAATTTAAAAAAAATTCTGGGTATGATTGATGCCTGAAACTGGTGGTACAAGACAACTGGTTGTAAAGTATTTTGATGATATGCTCCCATTGATTTACTGTCTTAAGTATCTGTCTGATGGCAAGGGAACTACTTGTATGATGGGAACTGTTGAAAAGTCAAAATAGCCAGGTTAATAAATTTTTAAAGCTTTAAAGGTTATGTCCTATGATCTGAATTTAGTCCAGAAAATATTGGCAATAGTACAGTGAGGGGAAAAACTATTTGATCACCTGCTGATTTTGAACGTTTTTCCACTGACAAAGAAATGATTGGTCTATAATTTTAATGTTGGTTTATTTTAACAGTGAGAGACAGAATAACAATAAAAAAAAAATGCATTTCAAAAAAGTTATAAATTGCTTTGTAACTCACCTCATGGAGTTTCAATGATCATGAGAACGGTGAGGAATCAGCCCAGAACTACACGGGAGGATCTTGTCAATGATCTCAAAGCAGCTGGAACCATAGTCACCAAGAAAACAATTCGTAACACACTATGCCGGGAAGGACTGAAATCCTGCAGCGCCCACAAGGTCCCCCTGCTCAAGAAAGCACATGTACAGGCCCATCTGAAGTTTGCCAATGAACATCTGAATGATTCAGAGAACTGGGTGAAAGTGTTGTAGTCAGATGAGACTAAAATCGAGCTCTTTGGCATCAACTCAACTTGCCATGTTTGGAGGAGGAGGAATGCTGCCTATGACCCCAAGAACACCATCCCCACCATCAAACATGGAGGTGGAAACATTATGCTTCGGGGATGTTTTTCTGCTAAGGGGACAGGACAACTTCACTGCATCAAACGGACGATGGATGGGGCCATGTACCGTCAAATGTTGGGTGAGAACCTCCTTCCCTCAGCCAGGGCATTGGAAATGGGTCATGGATGGGTATTCCAGCATGGCAGTGACCCAAAACACACAGCCAAGGCAACAAAGGAGTGGCTCAAGAAGAAGAACATTAAGGTCCTGGAGTGCCCTAGCCAGTCTCCAGACTGTAATCCCATAGAAAATCTGTGTAGGGAGCTGAAGGTTCGAGCTGCCAAACGTCAGTCTTGAAACTTTAATGATTTGGAGAGGATCTGCAAAGAGTGGGACAAAATCCCTCCTGAGATGTGTGCAAATCTGGTGGCCAACTACAAGAAAAGTCTGACCTCTGTGATTGCCAACAAGGGTTTTGCCACCAAGTACTAAGTCATATTTTGCGAATGCACGAAATACTTATTTCACTCATTAAAATGCAAATCAATTTATAACTTTTTTGAAATGTGTTTTTCTGGATTTTTTTTGTTGTTATCTCACTGTTAAAATAAATCTACCATTAAAATTATAGACTGATCATTTCTTTGTCAGTAGGCAAACGTACAAAATCAGCACGGGATCAAATATTTTTTTTCCTCACTGTAGATGATCAAGATGTTGTTTGGTTTGTGGTACATGCTAGTTGCTGCTGAGTAATTGAGATCAGAGCCCTTAATTTGTGTGATGTCTCAGGATTTAATGCTCTTACCCCTTTTGTTTAAATCTACATGAGGCTGCTGGATGAGGATATCCATTCATCAGGTATTACTGGTATGCTTATGGTATTAAGTTACATGTCTTGATCTTGGACCACCCAAATGATGCTGTCAAAGTTCTATCCCATCTGGATGAGGGGGAATAGTTTCAGCTCAACCGCTGCACAGTTGAATGGTTCAGCGGCAGCCCCCTCAGTCCTGGAACTTTTAGTTTTGGATGGGGTAACATTTAGTCTTTATTCTTGGATGGGGTAGCATTTCCTCTTTCAGTATTGGTATACAACTTGGAGGCGTTTCTGAACTCACAGGTCATCTGGTTTACCTGTTCTACATTTCCTCAGCCAGGGGGCCCTCTAAATAGTTACTCATATCCTAATCTTCCCATATGTTTGGCTATTGCAGTGCATATTTATGGGGATATCCT